CTTCTACACCAAAGAACAACAAGATTTCTATGAGACAATTTTGTTTGATAAGAAGCCCATGGTGAGTGACATGAAGTGGTGGAGTGGAAGTACATTGATCTGCATGAGGACAACCTCCCCCACGTTCATGAGGACTTTAGTACTATTGGTATTAGTGCATCCATAGGGAAGAAGTTGACTGCATGGAATGATGAAATTATCATGCAATTTTACTCTACAACTCACTTCTATCCCAATGGAAGAATTGTCTGGCTGACTAAAGGAGTGAAGTACCAGTCTAGTGTGCTTGAGTGGGACACATTGCTTGGTGTGCCTGAGGGTGATGAGAATGACATTGATGTATATGCTAAGCCAAAGATGGACCACAATTCCATGGCTAACATGTACACGGAGGTACCTAAGAAGTACAAAGAATCTCACAAACTTGGCCAAGATAACATATACTCTTGTATGATCATTCTCCTACCCAAGCCAAATCTGAGAGAGAGATTGAGTGTTGAGGAGACTATCAAATGTACCGGAGATATCCATTTCACATGCTCTTGTATGATCATTCACTTGTTTACTTGGTGATGAGTGCTATTTGTGTTGCAATCATACCATTTTGAGCGCTCCACCAAGATGTATGTGGCATGGAAGAGTAACCCATGATCCTCATCGATTGTGCATTTGCATTCAAAAGAAATTTTTTAATAATGCACAAATTATGGGGAGCTCTTGCTTATTATATACTTCTCAAAGCGACGATGTATTTCATTCATTATATCATTTGTCGAAACTTTGATCTATATGTTGTCATCAATTACCAAAAAAGTGGAGATTGAAAGTGCAATTAATCCCAGGATGGGTTTGGTAATTAATAACAACAAATATTTCATTGATCTAATGAACATTTATGATATATTTCAGAAAAGATCAATAATTGGCATGGCATGGACTAGTGGATGTGGACTCCTCAAAATGTGAAGGGCAAGAATTGGCTACCCAAGACTCTACATTTTTGGCTTAGTGATCCAAAATCACATTGAGTCCCCTAGGAAAGCTAATACTATTAAAAGGTGATGAGGTATTGTTGATGAGGTTGTTGCTCAAAGTGCTCAGTGATATTGGTCCAAAAATCCTCCATCACTTTCCCACAAACATATTTGTCCAAACCCTAATTCATCATTTTGGTCCCACCGATACAGTTTAGTTCGGACCCATTGAGATGATCATTATATTGCCACAACCAAAACCCTAACAAATCGGTCTGACCAAATTGGTTCTTGATTCCACCAAGAAGGCCTTGCCAAGTTTCTGTGATGAAGTCATTTCATTTCGAAATCACCGAGACAAAACAATCGGAACCAAGACGCGACTCTGCCATAGCCACTGCACTTCCGTCCCACCGAGATGGTATAGTCGGTCTCACCTAAAACTCTAACGGCCAAGTCTTTTGCACTAGTCGGTCTCACCGAGATTTTTATATCGGTGCCACCGAGTTGGGTCAAAGACTTGTAACAGTTGGATTTTTGGTGCTGCCTATTTAGACCCTCCACTACCACTTACTCTAAAAGAGAGCCATCAGAATGAAACACAACTTCCACCATTCATTTTGAGAGAGATCCACCTACTCATGTGTTGAGATCAATAGATTCCATTCCTACCATTTGAACCTTGATTTCTAGCCTCTTCAAGTCGCTTTCTACTCCAATCCTTCTCCTAACCAAGCCAAATCTATGAGAGAGAGAGAGAGAGATTGAGTGTTGAGGAGACTATCATTTGAAGCACAAGAACAATGAGTTCATCATTAACACAACATCTATTACCTTTTGGAGAGTGGTGTCTCCTAGATTGGTTAGGTGTCACTTGGGAGCCTCCAAGATCATGTGGAGTTGAACCAAGGAGTTTGTAAGGGTAAGGAGATCGCCTACCTCATGAAGATCTACCCGAGTGAGGCTAGTCCTTCGTGGATGGAATCCATGGTGGAATAGACAAGGTTGCTTCTTCATGGACCCTTCGTGGGTGAAGCCCTCCGTGGACTCGCGCAACCGTTATCCTCCGTGGGTTGAAATCTATATCAACGTGGACGTACGATAGCACCACCTATCAGAACCACACCAAAAATCATCATGTCTTCATTGCTTTTGAAATCTCCAAACCCCTCCTTTACTTACATGTGCAATGTTTTACTTTTCGCTGCTACACTCTTAGAATTGCATGTGTAGGGTGATACTTTGCTAGATATGCTAAAATCTGCCCACAACTAAAACTGAAATGTTAGATTCTTATTTGGTCAAGTAGTCTAATCATCCCCTCTACACATACTTGTCTAATCATCCCCTCTACGCATACTTTCGCCCCTACACGGTGGTTCATCCTCTCGTGGTGCTAGTTTTGGTCGTGCCGACCGCCGCGGGCGCCATGGCCGCAGGTTCCGTTGACCCGGTTCGGGTCAGCGTGCGTCTGATGGGCCTGTCTCGCTTTGGTCGTAGTTGAGATCTCTGAAGGTGGCAATCCCATGCACACGATGCTGGACAGAGGTTCGTCGAGCAGATCCAGGTGAAAACCCTGCTCCCGGCTAGTTGCCAATGCCGCGATGGCGGCGTTCTTCTGCATCGCCCCCTTCTTGAAGACATCGTCATGAAGAAACTCCAGACCTCTATCCGCTACCTTCGGGGGAAACCCTAGACCACTCATTTGGATGAAAGTGGCACTCTGTATTGTTCCCTCCTTGGGGTCGTCATTCTTGGAAGTGTGCACTAGCTCGAGGGACCAGTGGACGGTTTCAACGCTGGAACAATGTTTCATGTGGCGCATCGACGATTTGGAGTCTCGGTGGCGTGACGCAGCAGGGTCTCGGCGATGGATGCTTGATGATGAACGCGCGTAGGGAGGTGGCGTTGTCTGGCGCTATGGTGAAGTAGATGGCAAGCCTGACAAGGTCGATGCGTCAGTGCCTGCTCTAAAGATGGATCGATGGAAGATGGTGACGACGACCTCTACAGCGTGTGCATGTGATAACCACTGAGAGTGCGCGAGACCGGTGTGTGCACAAGACCTGGGGCAATGCGGCTTGGTTGGGGCCTCCAGCTTTAGATGTTGGGCTTTTGTGAGGGCTGGGTATGCGGCTCAGACAATCTGCACCTCTTTATCAAGTTGATAGGAGTAGCGATAAATGTTACCAAGATGATGACTTCAGACTTACGGATGTATTACTTTATATGACTTTGGTGAATAATTAATAATGTCTGTGTGCATCATCCTGATGCAGAGGCTGGGGTCATTCTTCTTTTTGAAAAAAGAATAAGAAAGAAACGAAAATTATTTTACAACGAGATATGGCCTTGCTCTACATTAGTAACGAGTGAAGGGTTGAAATGAAAGAACATACCGACTTTCCGAGGGCCGTTTTTGTAGTAGAGATATCCCGAGGGCCTCTGCAGAACGGGCGTTTTCAGTTTCCACTCCGGTGCCGGCCGTCATATCACTAGTCCACTGCCGCCGGCGACGTGGATTGATCGCTCTACATCAATCGAGACCGAATAAATTTCCTGGCTGCCTCCGTCAACATCCCCGGCCGATCTACCGCCGTGCGCCGCCACCCTAGTTCCGGAGGTACGCTGGAGCTCTACCTTCTCCCTCCCCGGCATTTCAGGATAGAGGTGTTAGCTTTTCTTACCAAAATTGGACTCGCCAGCCCACTACGGTCTACGAGTCGCCTCCAATTCAAATGCTGTAGAAACCCTTGCTCCATCCCCTTTCTGCCTGACCGTCGCCGCCCCGTCCCTGTCCTCAAAACCCTAGCTCGCCCTAAACCGTGGCAAGCACCGCCGCCCCTCATCCTGCGCTGGCGTTCGTCTTCCGAAGCGGCGGAGGTGCAGGAGGGCCCCGATCTAGGTCAGACCTCACTGACCGGCACGCTGTGCTCACAACTCGCATACTACCAACATCAGTTCATTTTCCATTCGTTTTTTTTTGGGATCCCAACCTCCATAGCGCATGATCGAGTTCGAGTCCAGCCCTTCTTATAGAGAAGGGCAATCCTTATCTGTACCATGCTACACAATGATTGCTTGGCTAATGGGGCCATTAGTTGATCTGATGATGGCCACCTGTGGTTTATTTTATTTGGGAGGGGGGACAGGGCTGGGGCCTGATGGTCACCATCACATGCCAACCTGGTCTTGTGGCCGTTGGAAACGGCGTAGATTAACCCGATTGAACGGTCGTTCGACACGTGGTGGCGGTCTCCACCGCTCTATTTTTTTTATTTATAAGGTTTTATTCAGGCTTTGTATAGCGAACATTTTGTATTTGAATTGTATGGTATGTCTTCACTGTTTTATCTAGTGTTGTCAAGTGATGTTTTATCGTCTATCGGGTGCTGATTAGTATCTTCACGGTGTGATAAATATTTTCTAGGTGTTATTGAGTCTCTCACATGCTATCATTTCTATTATTGAGATGAGATCTTCTGTGAGCTTTCGTAGAAAATTTAGTACTACTTTTTTTTTCAAGCACATGGTGCTATTTATGTTGATTTCTTCTGTATATCTTCAAAGATCTGGAACTCTCATTTGTTTCCTAGTTGAGCCAAATGAAGATTTTAGTGCAATAAACAAAAATTGAAGGGTGCAATCTGACCCTCGCCACACCCGGGGATCGAACCTGGTTGTGCAGCATATTCTCTCTTTGTCCAGCACCGCGACCACTGCGGGTTACCTTAATATATTGAAATTTATAACAAAGACACTATTTGACACATTATTTCAGTACCTCGGTTGCAAATATTCCCATATTATATAGATGCTCGATATGTCCGTAAATCCCTTCCTTTTAATTTTGACTAACAAACACACTTTTGTTACATGCGCTTACTTTATTTCTTTAAAAGGATCTGGTCCTGATTTCTCTCTTTTTTGCCTTGGGATATGCGCTTGTATAGGTTGATATAGACAGCAAGAGGGCATCATATTGTACCAGAAAGCGCCAAAGAAGTACAGATTGCAGCACAAGCGATGGAACTTAATAGTCGAGAAAATAAGGCTCCGCCGGGGAAAGAACTAACTACTTTACCCGGTAAAAAGAAGTGCTCTGCTTGTAAAGAGACATCACACAATTTGGATCAATGCAGGATAAAAGACAAATTGGGTACTATGGCCCAGCTATTTGGACATTCTACAAGGTTCCCGTTCTACATGATTCAACCTTCAAAGGAAGTTGTCGAAAATGAAAAATTCTATCATCACTGCCTGCTGATCACATCTAATGCCTGTAACTTGGACCCGACAAGAGTGAAAACTGAACTAAACAAGTTCTGGAAGCTGACTGATGACTGGCATATAAAGAGAGAAGGTAGGCAGAATTTCGTAGCATCCTTCAACTCAGAGGATGACCTACTAAGCTGTTTAAAGCCTCCCAATGTAGAAACATTTCTGGATGAAAAGGAGGTGAATTTCACTGTAGCACGGTGGGATGAAGGTGATGAGGAAAAGCTGGACTTGATCAGAGAGTGGCTTTTGGTCTATGGGGTCCCAGGTGCATATAGAAACTGGAAGGAGCTATATCAAGTTGCATCTGCAGTTGGAGTTTTGCTTGAGGTGGATGAGGAAAGTTTGGAAAGTGGAGATAAGGAGCCTATTAGGTTGAGGATAGCATTGGGAAGTCTTGTTGGTGCTCCTTTCTCTTGCCACTTTGTGTTTGGATGGTCTTCTAGACTAGTCAAGTTCATGATTGGAGACAAAGTAAAAAGGATAGAAGGGCAATGGAAGGAAGTAGAAGAACGGAATGTTAGCGCCATGAAGGAATATGCAGATATAAGAGAAGAAGGTATTGAGGTACCTCCAGAAACACTGAACAAAGGAATGGATTTAGAGGGCACTGGAGTAGATTTCTTAGGCAATTATTCTTTGGATTTTGGAAGTTGCTCAGGCAAGGAACGTGAAGAAGAACTGAAGACCACAGAAACAGCTACATTGCTGGAAGTGGCGAAGTTCATTGCAGAGTTGAGAGCTGATGAAGAGATAAAGGAAAACAGCATAAGTGCTATGGCAGCCACCACAACAAACTCAATGAAAGCAACAAAGGGGGGGCAATCCCCAAGTGAAAGCTCAGCAAGAGGTGATCATATGTCGTGTTTGGAAGATTGTTGCGACAAGGATCATCAAAAGAAACTGAAGACTGATATGGCTACATTGCCTTAAGTGTCAAAGTTCACTGAAGACTTAAGAACTGATGGAGAGATCAAAGAAAACAACGCAAGTGAGTGGGCACCAGAACGAACTCTGAAAGAGCTACAGAAGACATTCCAAAAGCTGAAGGTTGGCAATTCATAAGCGGAAGTTCAACTTCAACGAGCTTCATTGAAAGGGTCCCCAGAGGTGAGTGAAAACTGCGCATTTGCGAACTTTGCTGTGCTATATTTATCAAATATGCTATGAAAAATTCCTTTCCAAATCAAATCAAAAGGAAAATACTTACAAGGGCATGGGCTAAAATTGTTTCCGAAAATGGAAATAAATGAATTCTCAGTTCTTGAAAAAGATAATTTAAAATATCATGTATGTTGTGAATTTTCTTGGCACAATATGAATTGGTTGACACTTTGTTTGCTGACATCATTTCTGATCTGCCCATGAAGGTATGCACAAGCCACCTATAAAGAATGTGTACACAAGGAGAGATCGGAAGCAAAAAGAATCGACAGAAGGTTCCACTTTGTTTGCTGATATCAGTTCTAACAGTGCCCATGAAGGTATACAGAAGCCACCTATAAAAATTGTATTCGAGAGAAGAAGTGATCCCAAGCAAAAAGGATCCACAGGGGGGCAACTTGCTTCAAAGGAACTGAACAAAGGAATGAACCCAGGGAGCAGCAGTCACGCCACAAGGATTGCAACCTTAACATGCAATATTTTGGACTCAAAAAATTTATTAGAGAAGCAACACGAGAAAGAAATGAAAATGGCAGAAACAGCTTTACTAGGAAAAGGACCAGAGTCGACTGAAGAATCTGGAGGTGGAGAGAATAAAGACAACAATGTAAGAACCAGTACAGCGTACTACATGAGAAACAAAACAGCAGCGAAGACTCTGGGAGCTGAAGGAGCGCAATGTATCAAGGGAAGTTCAGCGTGCATGATTAGAGTAACTCAAACAAAAGGTGAGTAAAAATCCTATGTGCATAAAATTGTTATACTTGTATACCTTCAAATCTGTTCTGAACTAAGTCTTCTATCACAATTTAGAAGGAAAACACCCAAATGGCATTTGACTACCAGTCTCTTTAGAAAATGAAAAGAAAACTGATTTTCAGTTTTTGAGTGACACAATCAGGAATATAAGAATCGGTGTGTACACCAACACATGGACTGTAGAGAGCGTGCAAGATGACAGCCTTACTAATTGTGGTGGGCCATGTGTTTACATGAACATAAGGAAACCATCTTACATTACTGCTTTACAAAAAAGCTTACATAAGATAAGAATATGAACTTGAACAAAAGAAGGTTAAAACAGATTAAATACAAAAACAACTAGGGAGATGTGAGATGAGTTATGCGGAAAACAGTAACTGCTTTACTAATTTGCGGAGGGAACATTACCCTGATGGACAAAATTCCCGTTTAGAAATGAGAAGAGTTTGATTATTGATACTATGTTTTACTGTCTTCAACCATTTTATGTATTGATTAATTTCTGATCCAACGCATTGATGCTTTTTTAGAACATTGATTTTGATATGGTTGTGTTTAAAAAGTAAAATAGGAGTTTAGTTCCAACCCTTTTGCTATAAAAGTTCGGCAGCGTTCTGATGGAACAGGAGAAACATCCCTGATTTATTGAAGTTTTGGGCTAGAAAATATTTTGCTAATATGTACTTTGTTTGCACTGTCTCTGAAGGTGTTGACATGGCTGCAACGACACTAGAAGGAGCTCGGTTTGATGGAAAGCAGCCTGTGTCTAAGATGACTACGCGGTATGTGATCTGATATTTTACTTCTGCCTGTTTGTTTCTCGTCTTGTCTTATTGTTTCATTTATATTTATGGATATTTGATTACTTCCAACATGACATGGTATAGGCTAACTCAATTTTACGAGGAGTTCAACACATATAATGAAATCTATGACAGTTTCGTTGAGATGGATCTTCGAGAAAATCTGCTGAAAGGAATATATGCATATGGTAATTCCTACTTTATTTGTTAATATGTTGAGATGCTTATTTGCGTATACAATTATTTCTTGACTCGACATGTATTATAGTGAAGTCTTAATGCGATTTTTCTTGAAGGTCTGGCGATGCCTTCTGCAATCCATCAACGGAGAATTGTCCCATTGTGCATGATGAGGACATCAATACCATTGTTACACCCACAGCCCCTACTGTTACATATACTGGACCAATTACTAGAGCTCGCGCATGTCAATTAAATTACCAGGTATTTCCGTTTCTTGGTAATGATTCTAATGTTCATGAGATTATGATGCTGTCTAAATTGGATACATTTGTTTTGCTTACAAATGAAGGGCCTAGCTTGGAGAAGGATGAACATTGGAGCAAGAACACGCATGGAGTTGATGGCATGCACAAGGGGATCAAGAACGGAGTTACAAGTGATGGTTTCAGGACTTTGAAGCCGCCATAAGGAGTGCATGAAGCCTTGGACGAAATATACAAGATGCCACTTCATAATATTCGTCCACAGGCTATTCTAGGTGCTGCGTCACCTTATTAATGGGCCAGGCCCATGTAATTTCGAAATACTTAAGTACATGCTATTTTTAGAGTCCGTATGTGTGGGGAAACAAGAGTTAGGGTTGGTTTTGGACCCCATCCTCAAGGGCCACGAAATTCCCCCCTCTTCCTCCATATATACAGCCCTTAGGGCATCGTTTAGACTTTGGGTTTTGTTTAGATTAAAAGTTCGCCATAGCTGCAACTTCGCGTACTTCGTTTGTGTCCAACGACCAGACCAAGACGTTACAGAACCCCACCTTGATCAATAAAGCTTTCATCTTATATTCGCAATATCCCGATTGCAATCTCAGTTTTTTTGCTTGTTCTTCGTTTGTTCGCAGGAAACAGATCCTCGTGGTCAGGTTGATTGTGCTCCGGCGTGGTCAATAACCCTCGGAAGTTGGTTTAGCGATTGCTAAGGCGCGACGTCTCGCACGTTCGTAGTCGGATCGTCAAGGTCGACTCCCACAGAAAACGATAGCCACCATCTCATCGAAACATCGGGACACCTTAGCATCTATCAAGTGGTATCAGATTTCCAGGTTGCTTGGTGAGATTTTACAGTTTTTCGTAGATTAGATCGAGTCTGTTCTTCATACCTACAGTCCACGAAAAAGCCACAAAAAAAATTAGGGTTAGTTCATCATATCCGAACCAATCTGAGCCTTTGCATAATCTTTTTAGGGTTTTTTTTTGTTGAATTTGCGGTTGCATTATCGTGTCAAGTTGCTGGTCTTAGAGTCTAGTCTTTTAGAGTTTCGAGTTCTGGTCATAAGTTGTCACGCCGCCGCCGCACCATCATCATCGCCCATCTACCACTTTTGCTTATCCGCCACCGCTTTGAATCCATATCCATATATCCACCACCAATCCGAGTTCGTCTCATATTAGGTTTGTTCTTGATATCAATCTAAATTCCGCTTCGTGTTTCCTTGCCCGCGTAGGTCTCGAAAAAAAAAGAGTCTGGAGACCACGTGCATCATCTACTTCCACACATTCTGCTACACCGGCGCCTCCGTCGGCTGCCACCTCCAACCGTGATACAATAAAGCAGGCACAATCACCACTATCTGCCAAGAGCACACCTTCTGGGCCTGCAAAGAGCTCTTCTTCATCCATGGCATCAACAGGGCAAACACATGATATTATTTGTTGACGTTGCAAGGGTGGAGGTCATTATGCGAGAGAATGCCCATCTAAGCATGTGATGATTGTTACTGAGGATGGTGGGTATGAGTCCGCTAGTGACTATGATGAGGAGACTTTGGCTCTTATTACACGTGACGAACACGGTGGAGACGATTCTGATCATGAGACGCAATACATGGCTCCTGAAGATGCTGACAAGTATGAATGTTTAGTTGCTCAACGTGTTTTGAGTGTGCAGGTTACACAAGCTGAGCAAAATCAGAGGCATAATTTGTTCCATACAAAGGGAGTTGTGAAGGAACGTTCTGTTCGCGTGATCATAGATGGAGGGAGCTGCAATAACTTGGCTAGCATGGAGATGGTGGAGAAGCTATCTCTCACCACAAGACCACATCCACATCCATACTACATCCAATGGTTCAACAACAGCGGCAAGGTTAAGGTAACACGTACTGTTCGTGTGCATTTTAGTATCTCTACATATGCTGATTATGTTGATTGTGATGTGGTACCTATGAAAGCATGTTCCTTATTACTTGGTAGACCATGGCAATTTGATAAAAATTCTGTACACCATGGTAGAAACAATCAGTATACTCTTGTTCATAACGATAAAAATATTACTTTGCTTCCTATGACTCCTGATTCCATTTTGAAAGATGATATTAATAGAGCTAATAAAGCAAAACAGGAGACAAATAAGAGTGAAAATCAGATTGTGGCAAAAGAATTTGAGCACCAAATGAAGCCTAATAATAAACCATCTACTGTTGTTTCTGAAATTAAATTGAAAAATGCATGTTTACTTGCCACAAAATCTGATATTGATGAGCTAGATTTTAGCAAATCTGTTTGCTATGCTTTTGTGTGCAAAGAGGCATTATTTTCATTCGAGGACGTGCCTTCCTCTTTGCCCCCTGCTGTCACTAACATTTTGCAGGAGTTCGCTGACGTCTTTCCACAAGACGTGCCACCGGGATTACCACCTATTCAAGGGATTGAGCATCAAATTGACTTAATTCCCGGTGCTTCGCTACCCAACCGTGCACCATACCGTACCAATCTAGAGGAGACGAAGGAGATTACGCGTCAAGTACAAGAACTGCTCGACAAAGGTTATATACGCGAATCCCTTAGTCCTTGTGCTGTTCCTATCATTTTAGTGCCGAAAAAGGATGGTACGTCGCGTATGTGCGTTGATTGTAGAGGCATTAATAATATTACTATTCGTTATCGTCATCCTATTCTTAGGCTAGATGATATGCTTGATGAATTGAGTGGCTCTACAATATTCTCCAAAGTTGATTTGCGTAGTGGATACCATCAAATTCGTATGAAATTGGGTGATGAATGGAAAACATCATTTAAAACTAAGTTTGGATTATATGAGTGGTTAGTCATGCCTTTTGGGTTAACTAATGCACCTAGTACTTTCATGAGGTTAATGAACGAAGTTTTACGTGCTTTCATTGGATGATTTGTGGTAGTTTACTTTGATGACATATTGATTTATAGCAAATCTTTGGAGGAACATTTGGAACATTTATGTGCTGTTTTTATTGCTCTACGTGATGCACGTTTGTTTGGAAACCTTGGAAAGTGCACCTTTTGCACCGACCGAGTATCTTTTCTTGGCTATGTTGTTACTCCACAGGGAATTGAAGTTGATAAAGCCAAGATTGAAGCTATTGAGAGTTGGCCGCAGCCCAAAACGGTCACACAAGTGAGGAGTTTCCTTGGCCTCGCTGGTTTCTATAGGCGTTTTGTGAGAGATTTCAGCACCATTGCTGCACCTCTCAACGAGCTTACAAAGAAGGATGTGCCTTTTGTTTGGGGTACCTCATAGGAAGAAGCCTTCACGGTATTGAAAGATAAGTTGACACATGTTCCTTTACTCCAACTTCCTAATTTCAATAAGACTTTTTCGCTTGAATGTGATGCTAGTGGAATTGGATTAGGAGGTGTGTTATTACAAGATGGAAAACCTGTTGCATGCTTTTCTGAAAAATTGAGTGGGCCTAGTCTGAACTATTCTACTTATGATAAAGAATTATATGCTCTTATTCGGACCTTAGAAACACGGCAACATTATTTATGGCCCAAGGAATTTGTTATACATTCTAATCATGAATCTTTGAAACACATTAAAAGTCAAGAAAAACTGAACCGTAGACATGCTAAATGGGTTGAATTCATTGAGACTTTCCCTTATGTCATTAAACACAAGAAGGGTAAAGAAAATGTTATTGCTGATGCCTTGTCTCGTCGTTATACTATGCTTTCACAACTTGACTTTAAAATATTTGGTTTGGAGACCATCAAAGATCAATATGTTCATGATGCTGAATTTAAAGATGTATTGCAGAATTGTAAGGAAGGGAGAACTTGGAACAAGTTCGTTCTTAATGATGGATTTGTGTTTCGTGCTAACAAGCTATGCATTCCAGCTAGCTCCGTTCGTCTTTTGTTGTTGCAGGAGGCGCATGGAGGAGGATTAATGGGACACTTTGGCGTCAAGAAGACGGAGGATATACTTGCTACACATTTCTTTTGGCCAAAGATGAGACGGGATGTTGAGCGTTTTGTTGCTCGCTGCACTACATGTCAAAGAGCTAAGTCACGACTCAATCCTCATGGTTTATAATGCCTTTATCTGTACCTAGTGTTCCTTGGGAGGATATATCTATGGACTTTGTTTTAGGTTTACCTCGAACAAAGAAGGGGAGGGATAGCATATTTGTTGTCGTGGATAGGTTCTCGAAAATGGCACACTTTATACCATGTCATAAAAGCGATGATGCTGTTAATGTTGCTGATTTGTTCTTCCGTGAAATTATTCGCTTACATGGTGTGCCAAATACTATTGTTTCAGATCGTGATACTAAATTTCTTAGCCACTTTTGGAGATGTTTATGGGCTAAGTTGGGGACTAAGCTGCTTTTTAGTACTACTTGTCACCCCCAAACTGATGGACAAACTGAAGTAGTCAATAGAACATTGTCTACTATGCTTAGGGATGTTTTGAAGAATAACAAGAAAATGTGGGAAGAATGCTTGCCTCATATTGAATTTGCTTATAATCGTTCATTGCATTCTACTACTAAGATGTGCCCTTTTGAAATTGTGTATGGTTTCCGACCTCGTGCACCTATTAATTTGTTGCCTCTTCCATCTTCAGAGAAGGTTAATTTTGATGCTAAAGAACGTTCTGAATTGATTTTAAAAATGCATGAGTTAACTAAGGAAAACATTGAGCGTATGAATGCTAAATATAAACTTGCTGGAGATAAGGTAGAAAACATGTTGTGTTTGCGCCTGGAGATCTTGTTTGGTTACATTTGCGTAAAGATAGATTTCCTAATCTACGCAAATCAAAGCTAATGCCACGTGCTGATGGTCCTTTTAAGGTGTTAGAGAAAATAAATGATAATGCATATAAACTTGAGCTACCTGTAGATTTTGGGGTTAGTCCCACTTTTAACATTGCAGATTTGAAGCCTTATTTGGGTGAGGAAGATGCGCTTCCGTCGAGGACGACTTCATTTCAAGAAGGGGAGGATGATGAGGACATCAATACCATTGTTACACCCACAACCCCTACTGTTACATATACTGGACCAATTACTAGAGCTCGCGCACGCCAATTAAATTACCAGGTACTTTCGTTTCTTGGTAATGATTCTAATGTTCATGAGATTATAATGCTGCCTAAATTGGATACATTTGTTTTGCTTACAAATGAAGGGCCTAGCTTGGAGAAGGATGAACATTGGAGCAAGAACACGCATGGAGTTGATGGCATGCGCAAGGGGATCAAGAACGGAGTTACAAGTGATGGTTTCAGGACTTTGAAGCCGCCATAAGGAGTGCATGAAGCCTTGGACGAAATATACAAGATGCCACTTCATAATATTCGTCCATAGGCTATTCTAGGTGCTGCGTCACCTTATTAATGGGCCAGGCCCATGTAATTTCGAAATACTTAAGTACATGCTATTTTTAGAGTCCGTATGTGTGGGGAAACAAGAGTTAGGGTTGGTTTCGGACCCCACCCTCAAGGGCCACGAAATTCCCCCCTCTTCCTCCATATATACAACCCTTAGGGCATCGTTTAGACTTTGGGTTTTGTTTAGATTAAAAGTTCACCATAGCTGCCACTTCACGTACTTCGTTTGTGTCCAACGACCAGACCAAGACGTCACAAAACCCCACCTTGATCAATAAAGCTTTCATCTTATATTCGCAATATCCCGATTGCAATCTCAGTTTCTTGCTTGTTCTTCGTTTGCTCGCAGGAAACAGACCCTCGTGGTCAGGTTGATCGTGCTCCGGCGTGGTCAATAACCCTCGGAAGTTGGTTTAGCGATTGCTAAGGCGCGACGTCTCACACGTTCGTAGTCGGATCGTCAAGGTCGACTCCCACAGAAAACGATAGCCACCATCTCATCGAAACATCGGGACACCTTAGCATCTATTAGTGCAAGGGTCTGGATGTTATCCAGCAGTCATTGTCTGGAACAACTGTGACACTTGCCTGTGGAGTTCTCCAGCGACTCGATTATGGATCCACGGAATGCCAAGCTTTGGTTCTTGTACCAACGCGTGACTTGGCACAGGACACCGTGAAAGTTATTGGAGCACTTGGTCAGTGGCTAGGTGTCAAAGCTCATGCTTGTCTTGGAGGAACTAGTATTCGTGAGGACAAGCAAATTTCGTCAAGCAGCAATCAGGTTATTGTCGCCACTCCTGGCCGCACTCTTGACATGCTAAGAAGACGAGCGCTTTGTCCAGATAACATCAGAATGTTTGTCTTGGATGAAGCTGATGAAATACTCGCAGGAGGTTTAAAGAACCAGGTTGGTTTTGCATCCTCATACCAGCTCAGTTTACAGTGATCCCAATGGTTGCAAAACTTCTCTCGTACTACTTGTTCTTTTAATTTGAAACGATAAAAATAGATCTTGTTCAGCTCATGCAATTCTATGGTGGCATCTATTTTCGTAAACTGTGACCATTCATCTTTCTTGCAGATCTATGATATTATCCAGCTTCTCCCAGCCAAAATCCAGTTTGCTGTATTCTCTACCACCATGTCCAATGAAGCTCTTGAACTTTGCCGGAAGTGCATGAATAAGCCTATGAAGGTCATAGTGCCAAAAGATGAAGAACTTGAGGGTTTTAGTGTTAAGCAGTTCTATGTTAAGGCTGAGAATGAAGAATCAAAGTTTCAAAAATTATGTGATCTTTTTGACACCATGGCCGTCACGCAAAACGTCATCTTTGTCAACGCACGTCGGAAGGTCAAGCCACTGACTGAAAAGATCAGAGGCAGGGGGTACACTGTCTCGGCAAGCCATGGTGGTATGGACCAGCACTCCAGAGATGTTGCCGTCCAGGATCTCCAGTCGGGATCATCCCGTGTCCTCGTCACCACCAACCTTCGTGGCGCTGACGCATTGCAGGTCCCTGTTGTCATCAACTATGATCTGCCAACACAACCAGCACAATACCTTCGTCATGTTCGACGAAGTGGACAACCTGGAGGGATTGGTGTCGCTATCAGCTTTGTTGCTCGTGCTGATGAGCGTGTCCTATATGGCATCCAAAGATTCTGCAATACTCAGATGGCGGAGTTACCCTCCAACGTCGCTGACCTCTTGTGAGCAATTCTGTAGTTGGATATGGTGCACAGATGGCTATCTAGACTTCTTTTTTCTATCGTTGGCCTGGAGAGCTGCGCAACAGCTGCATTTTGTTGAATTGTGGGAATCGTCTTGTGGGATTGAAACGTGTTGAGTTCTCCGGTATTATGTCATGGTGGTTCGAAACTGAATTCGATGTGGTGCAAATAGTTGTTTGAAATGTTTTGGTGGTTCATCTGTTGTTTACTATTGTTATATTGTGTTGGTGCACATATGCTGCTAGTGAGCAACGTTATGCGCACAGGTTACAGAATCCTTAAGCCAGGACAAATAATGCAGGTCAGACTTGGATTGAACCTTGGACCAGATTACATAGCAAGTTGGTCACCTACAATATCAAAGAATGTTCTGCTGAATGAATCTGATGTTAGTACCACAATTTGCAGGCAATAACAACTACTAGTGGGTACCATGATCTTTCTGTTCTGTATTGTAAAGGCAACACCAACGCTGTGCATCAAATTGCCCGCAAACGTTTGGACAGTGCAGTCCAGACACTTTTGGACATCCAATGCCGTGCATCAAACGCTTGACGCCTCGGACCTAGCCAAAACTGAAGTGGAGCCGACACATGTGGACAATTCCACCACTGTCTCCACGCAAAAGGCTGCCCTTGCCCTTTGGTGGTGGTTGCCCACAAGACCAGCACCGCAACACGTAACACCCACCGCCAAAACAGAATAAGAGGGAGGACGCTTTGGCGGAGGCCGGTCACCGAGTACCTCCTCCACCAAAGTGTGTGAACCGGCGGGTGCCAGCCATGCAATCGCCGCTCCTGCAGCCGCCATCGCTCTGCCTAGCGCAGCTGTATCCACCATACTACTACTAAACCCAGCGCACCTTCATGGAGCCTCAGTCACAATCGTCAACGCTTGTCCTTGTGCGGATGCCGGCTCCCTCGTCCTTCGGTGCCCAGTCTCTGTTTGCTGCAATGTCTCAACCGGGCGCGATAGTGGATGAGCAGGAGGCAATGATGAACATGATTCACGACAGCGGTGACCACAAAGACGGGAAAGTGGAGGACTCTTGGCCGGAGTCGGACACCCAACAAATGGACACCCAGATACAAACACCCACCAGAAGCACACTTAACAGCAGACGACGACTAGTCAGATGGTGATCCAGACGACTTCTGGGCGCTGAGTGCATACCCAAAGAAGAAGAGGGGAGAAAATTCAACATGAAGGAGGATGAATTGTTCGTTTATGTGTGGTTGTCCACAAGCACCGATCCAATTCATGGCACAGAGCAAAGGGACAAAACCATTTGGACAAGTGTGCATGTTTGGTTCTATGAGCAAAGACACTATGATCTGTATCACAAGGAGAAAATCCATGAGCATAATTCAAAATCAATCACTAATTGATGGTACACCATTCAAGAGTCCACGAGCAAGTATTGTGGCTTTTACAAACAATTGAAAATCCGGTGGCCAAGTGGCGCGTTACTCAACGTGCTCGTTAGTTTTTTGTTGCTCTATGTGTTGGTCATTTGGCCGGATATACAACATGTGTTGGATTCGGCCAGATATGCTCTATGAGTTGGTATTTGGCTGGATATGCTATGCCAAGTATCTAGTAGTGGTTTCTTCCCCATACACTATGCATTTATTGTCCGGTCTGTATGTATTTTTTATTTTCCAACTAATACAGTGTTAGTTCTATGTTAACCTTCTTTTAGGTACTTCCTAGGATTTTCTTTGTAGGAAACCCCAAAAATATAAATAGGCGTATTTTCCCATGAAGATGCTACATTTTGTTGGTCTTATTTATGGGATAGCGAATCCATTTTTGTGTGCACTTAATTGTCAGGTTGGACGCATCGGGTGTCGGTGTCAAAACCGGCAGACCTCGGGGAAGGGGGTCCCGAGCTGTGGATCTCGGATCGGTGGTAACATGAATGAGGAAGATCATGTTTACCCTGGTTTGGGCCCTTTTGATGGAGGTAAAACCCTACATCATGCTCTTGTTTATATTGATGATGATGTATCGAGTACAAGCTTGATCTACCTCGAGATCGTAAGTTGTGTTCTAACCCTAGGGCTAGGAGAATGTAATTGTGTTTCGGTACCCTCTACGGGCTAAACCCTTTGGCTTATATACACGCCAAGTAGGGCATCTAGGGTTACATGGTCGGTATCTAGGGGAGCGCATGGAGGCGGTAGGAGATGGCTTGGAGTATACGTCAAGTCTTCGGCAGATGCAGTCTTGATTACGTCTAGCGTGTAGCTTCCAGAGTCCATCAGATAGAGAATGAGGCGCACAGGCCCAACCCGAGGACTACGGGCCAACTCAATTGACACCCATTAGTCCATGACACCGTTAGTAGCCCCCGAACTGGTCTTCTATCCCGAGGACGGCTTCCTTGATGTAGACAACTTTGGATTCGAAGTCCTTGGCTCAACAGACAAGTTCCCCTTCTTTGGCGATTCGAGATACTTTTCCTCTAAAGGTCACCATGGACCACCCCTCAAAGGAGTGACGTCCCCTGATCGTGACCTAGCCGAACTCACTCAGTGCCCGAAGATGCAAGGTTACTTAACCGCGAAGGCCTACCGTGTAGGTGTGAACAATGCTTTCTAGCCTGGCAACTTTATCAAAGCGGCACCACCCATGACTGGACAGACGATTACTACCCACCCATATCATGGCCTGAGGCAATCCTCTTATTGGCATGTCCCATCGAAATGGAGATCGTGCTCATTTTCTTAGGGATATCATTAAGATTTTGTTTCTCCCCGTATGCATAATGACATCTTTTGTGGGGAGTGGTGATTTCAACGACACATCAGAAGGACTCTTGGGCTTTTATCAGCCCATATAAGAGTAACGAGATAGCGAAAAAAAAAGCATGCTCTCATTCCTCCTTGCCCGCTGCCTCTCGAACTCCAGCGCTCAAATCCAATCCCGACCCCATCTTGCATAGCACATCCTAATCTCCGTCACCAGCAATGGCAGATGCCAACCTCAAGGGGCACTAGGCTGGTTCCTCTGTTACAGAGGGCACCATCTCAGAGCTGCGCAGTGTGGGGTACATCCCCACCGAGGTCAACACCAGAGCGCCAGACTCAAACTAGTGGGTGCCCGCTCCCAATCCAGGGGAGAGGGTGGTCTTCGTCCCCCACCTCGTTAGAGGCCTGGGGTTCCCATCACCGAAAGTGCAACTAATCCCCGGGTGGTTTTGGTAATTCATAGCAACATATATCTCATTGAACTAATATCCATTCAAGTTAAAGATTTCAGGATGTCCAATGATTGGCAAGGAAAGGACTAGTGATTGTGGACCCGTCAAAATGCTAAGGACATGGATTGGCAAAATCTCAAGACTCTACATTTTTGGTTAAGTGATCCAAGATTACATTGAGTCCATAGGAAAGCCAATACTATTAAAAGGGGATGAGATTTCGATTATGACCTATTTGCTCAAGTGCTTAATGATATTGCTCCAAAACTCAACCACTTTCTCTATCCAAATGTGTCAAAAACCCTACATTCCAACTCGGTACCACCAAAACTTCCCTATCTGTACCCACCGAGTTCATCTAGACACGGCCACATCCAAACCCTAATAAATCAGATCCATCGATATGGATCTCGGTCTCACCGAGATGGCCTTGCCAAATCTCCAGAACTTGTTGCAATTATTTTGGTCCTACCGAGTTTTGCGATGTGCCACCAAGATGGCTTGCCAACTTTCCGTTGCCTTATTGCTTCACTTCGGTCCTACCGAGTTGATGCAATCGGTGCCACCGAAACGAGGTTTGCCCTAACCATTGCACATTGGTCCATACGAGTTGTTTCCAGTTGGTCCCATTGAGACCTCCAACCTTCATATCTTTTACACAGGTCGGTGCCACCGGGATTTCTAATCGGTGCCACCGAGGTGAGTCAAAAGTGTGTAGCGGTTGAATTTCATGTGGAGGCTATATGTACCCCTCCACCCCCTCTTACTCACTGAGAGAGCCATCAGAATGTGCCTACACTTCCACTACTCATTTTCTAAGAGAGAACCACCTAATCATGTGTTGAGATCAAGAGATTCCATTCCTACCATTTGAATCTTGATTTCTAGCTTTCTGCAAGTTGCTTTCCACTCAAATCCTTCTTCCACCATAGCCAAATTTGTGTGAGAGAGTGGAGTTGGGGAGACTATCATTTGAAGCACAAGAGCAAGGAGTTCATCATCATCACACCATCTATTACCTTTTGGAGAGTGGTGTCTCCTAGATTGGTTTGGTGTCGCTTGAGCCTCCGACATGATGTGGAGTTGAACCAAGAAGTTTGTAAGGGCAAGGAGATCGCTTACTTCATGAAGATATACCCGAGTGAGGCGAGTCCTTCATGGACGATGTCCATGGTGGGATAGACAAGGTTGCTTCTTCATGGACCCTTCGTGGGTGGAACCCTCTGTGGACTCGCGCATCCGTTACCCTTCGTGGGTTGAATCTCCATCAACGTGGACATAAGATAGCACCACCTATCAGAACCATGCCAAAAATCACCGTGTCCCCATTGTGTTTGCCTTCTCCAAACCCCTCCTTTACTTACATGTGCAATGTTTTTTTGCGCTGATATACTCATAGAATTGCATGTGTAGGGTGTTGCTTGACTTGTCATAATTGCTAAAATCTGCCTACAACTAAAATTGGGAAAAAGGTTAGGTTTTATTTGGTCAAGTAGTCTAATCACCCCCCTCTAGACATATTTTTGATCCTACATCTACGGGCTAGATTACCACCATCTAGCCCCAAACTCTATCCTCCACCTCACCTGCTTCATTACAGTCTGCGAGGCCTTCCTTCGCATCAAGCCGCACTCCGGCCTATGGCTGAAGATCTTTGGCATCAAGCCGAAGTCCAGCACCTTCGAGCTCGCGCAGTGCGGAGGTGCGATGATCAGCAACAACTAGAAGGTCGGCTGGTTTAAAGGCACCTTCATGGAGACCATCAAAGAGTGGCAGCG